GGAGCAATGAAGCCTGAATGCCACAACTACTGAGCCCACGCTCTCGGGCCTCTGCTCCACAACAAGAGAAGCCACCGCAATGAGAAGGCCGTGCACCGCAACTAGAGGGGAGCCCCCCCTGTCCGCAGCCTGAGAAAGTCCGAGCACAACGAAGGCCCGGCACATTCAAAAATAAAAATAAAGATGAAAAAATAAATAAAATAAAAATTTTAAGAAGAAATAGAAAAATAGCAAGACTCAAATATTTTAATTTTACAAACTTAAAAAAAAATCACAAATATAATGAAACCTAGCTACTCATTCTTAAGTCTGAAGCCTCTTGGGTCAATTCTTTCCCTTTGGTAAAAAAGAGATGAAAACTTCCTCTCCCACATCCACCAGCTGGCTCACTGAGACACTTTCTGTTGACCGGTATAACTTCCTCAACCCTATGATGTACACGCTTTCCACGTTTCTGAAATTGGAATGCATCTCACAGTCAATGGATACATTTAATACTGTGTTTATCCCCAAATGCTGTTATTGAATATAATGTTCTAGAATCCAGGGAATTTATTTCCCTTGTGGTCATAATAATCTGTCTCCTTAGGAGGTAAGTTTTTTTTTCAGTGAAAAGTTCCGGGGCCTTGTTTCTCATAGCAGGTAAAGCAGCACGGGAAATTTGCGTTGGTACAGACAATTAGACTGGGACCTCTAACAGAGATCTTGCTGTAACCATCTGTCTGCCAGCGGATTCAGCTGCACTGCCTACCTTCCTGTCCCAGCTCCTCAAATGTCTGACTCTACTTCCCTCCTGTAAAACTCCAATTAACCCACCTGCAAAATGGTGACAACAGTTAACACTGATTTCATAGGGCTATTTAGTGAAGCTACATGAAATTGTTAGGGGAAGCACACTGACTGAAACCGTCCACCCCAGCCAGGCACCGTAGTAACCGTTCCCATGAGTTGTTTTATGACAAGAGATCCTGGTAAGGAATACGGAACTAATAAGCCACCACCAACCGGAAGAGTTCAGAAAAGGTCAAAAGGAGACGCCGCGTGTCCGTCCGCTTCCCACAACCCCTCTCGCCAGCATCCATCTTGGCTGACCGATGCATGCGCCACCAGGAAAGACTCTGAATCAGAATGATTGGCCAAAGACCACCCGGAAACTAATCCCATGACCATAACACCCAAGGCTGCGAGCCACGTGGCAGAGCAGCTCTCCTGGTTCCCTTACCCTCCTGCTCTCCACCCGGTGCCCTTTCCCAGTAAAATCTCTTGCTTTGTCAGCACATGTGTCTCCTCGGACAATTCATTTCTGAGTGTTAGACAAGAGCCCAGTTTTGGGCCCTGGAAGGGGCCTCCGTTCCTACAACAAAATCATCCATGTAATGTTACCAGCTTGGCAGGATGTCAGCTACATACAGGTAATCAAGAATGTTGGGTATTATTTTAATTTATATATTGATATGAATGCTGTAGCAGCTGGGTAATGATGCACAAGTAGGAGTTAACTTCAGTGTTAGCATGAGTTTAGAGAAAGGCAAATATGGTTTTTAAATAATTATGTTCATAGGGCTACAGAAAAAAAATGGAGAAAGATTTGGAGAAGAGAATGTGAGAAAGAAGAAAAAAAAAGCTCACTAGATGTTTATAGAAAGTCGACTTAAGAAGAAACCAATGAGAATACATTTTGACCCAGAAAGTATACTAGACAAGATGTATGCTAAACTGCTGAGACAAAGAGACTGCAAAAATCCAGTGGCTGCCACAAGATAGGCAATTGTATTCTTGCACACATGAAATTGGTTCTATGTAGGGTGGGTGATGGGATGGTGATCCACCACATGTTCAGTTCCTGTATCTCGTTGGTCTACCATCCCCTAGAGGGCTGTTTTTTTCTGAATTAGCAAGTCTGGCTTACCAGCATCATGTCTGTCCTCCAGATGTAGGAAAGGGGAGAGAGAAAAATTAGAGAACAATCAACTTTCTGTGTGCAGGTCCTGAACAAAAGTTTGTACACACTCCTTCCACTCAGCTCCCATGAGCCCCAGGGCCACACCAAGCTGCTAAGGAGGTGAGGATAATAGTCCAATTCAGTCAAAGGAAAAAGAAGAGAGTGTTGCTGGGGAAAAACTATGTCACAGAGAGTGAGCGTCTCACTTCAGGGACCTTGAACCAGCAGGACAAGAACTTAGAGGACGGGAGACACCATTATATTGTATGCTTCCCTTGACAAAGCATCTCCCTTCTAGGAATCATACATATCTGTTGTCAAATAGGTCAGCTGTTATTATCCCTCTTTTATATATACCTCTGAAGGTATATTATGAGTTCAAAATAGCACAACTAATCATCATCAAAAGGTGCACAAATACAAATGCTGGAGAGGGTGTGGGGAAAAGGAAACCCTCCTACCCTGTGGGTGAGAAGGGTGCAGCAACTAGAGAAAAGTATGGAGTTTCCTTAAAGAAACAGAAATAGTTTCCATGCGATCCAGCCATCTCACTCCTGGGCATATAACTGGAAAGAAGGAAAACTCTAATTTGAAAAGATAAGTGCACCCCAAAGTTCATAGTAGGACTACTTACAATAGCCAAGATGTGGAAGCAAACTAAGTGTCTATTGACAGGTGAATGGATGAAGAAGATGTGGTATATATATTGTGGAATACTACTCATCCATAAAAGAATGAGCTATTGCTAATTGCAGCAACACTGATGGACCTAGAGATTATCATATTAAGTGAAGCAAATCAAAGACAAATATCATATGATATCACATGTATGTGGAATCTAAAAAAATGATACAAATGAACTTATTTACAAAACAGAAAGGAACTCAGAGATATAGAAAAACAAACTTAGGGGGACTTCCCTGGTGGTCCGGTGGCTAAGACTTGGCACTCCAAATGCAGGGGAGCCGGTTGGATCCCTGGTCAGGAAACTAGATCTCACATGCCACAGCTAAGACCAGCACAGTTAAATAAATTAATTAATTAAAAAAAAAACTTATGGTTACCAAAGGGAAAGGGGGAGGAGAGAGGGATAAATTAAGAGTTTGGGATTAGTATATACACACCACTATACACAAAGTGAACAAGGACCCTATATAGCACAGAGAACTATATTCAGTATCTTGTAATAACCTATAATGGACAAGAATCTGAAAAAAGAACTGAATCACTTTGCTGTATACCTGAAACTAACACAACACTGTAAATCAACAATACTTCAATAAAACAAAATAAACAAACACAAGTAAGTGGTAGAGCTGAGATTCAAACTCAGGTCTGCAGTCTTCTAAGTCTACCGGCGGGAAATGACAGATACGAGTTGGGTGCCTCTTTCCGCCCCACTACCTTACTGGGCAATTCCATCACTTCCTTGTCACTGAAGGAGACCAGGTTTTGCCATCTTACATGCCACGTTGGCATGAGGATAATTTTGAACTAAAGTGAAATCGCTCAGTCGTGTCCAACCCTTTTCAACACCATGGACTGTAGTCTACCAGGTTCCTCCGTCCATGGGATTTTCCAGGCAAGAATACTGGAGAGGGTTGCCCTTTCCTTCTCCAGGAGATCTTCCCGACCCAGGGATTGAACCCGGGTCTCCTGCATTGTAGGCAGACGCTTTACCATCTGAACCACCAGGGCAGTCTTCAATTACCTGATGGCCTTTTGAATCTGCGTATTATAATGGAACACCCAGTAAGTACATAATTTTGTTCATTTTTTCTCCTGTTGACCAGTCTTACATCAATTTAATATTGAACTAAAGGCAATGTAAAAACCCAGCCAATTAAGGAAAAGCTCTTTACCTCTCCCTTTAATTACCTAAATTTACATTGGAAAGAAGGGCTGTATCAGGAAGATACCTATTACCAGGGATATATTTTTATCCAAAAAACTCATCTGCAGAACAGGGCAACCCTAGTTTTCCAAACATCTCTGCCTTCCTGTGACTGGCTTTCCTCCCCTTTGTATCCTCAAGCCCCTACCCCTTTCCTAAACCCCTGTTAATAAACAGGATGTTATTTAAACTTCAGTTACCTGATGGCTTTTTGAATCTGCATAATGGAACACCCATTAAGTACGTAATTTTGTTTGTTTTTTCTCCTGTTGATCAATCTTACATCAATTTAATTATTAGACCAGGCAAAGAATGTAGAAAGGAAAAGGGGAAAAATTTTACACCCTGCATCACACCATGGGGGCTTCCCTGATAACTCATTTGGTAAAGAATCCAGTTGCAATGCAGAAGACCCCGGTTGGATTCCTGTGTTGAGAAGATCCACTGGAGAAGGGATAGGCTACCCACTCCAGTATTCTTAGGCTTCCCTTGTGGTTCAGCTGGTAAAGAATCCGCCTGCAATGCGGGAGACCTGGGTTCGATCCCTGGATTGGGAAGATCCCCTGGAGAAGGGAAAGGCTACCCGCTCCAGAATTCTGGTCTGGAGAATGCCATGGAGAGTCGGAAACAACTGAGCAACTTTCACGTTCACTTCACGTCACCCCATGGAGGATGTATGTGTAAAACTGTCAACCAAGGAGAGAGGTTTCCTACATAAATTGCTTTTTTGCTAATATTAAAACTGTATACCTGATTGAATTAAATAACTATGTGTTAGACATTTAATATCTATTATTTTTTTTTTAAATTTTATTTTTTTATTTTTTTTTATCACAACCATAGTGTATCTTTTTTTTTTTTACATGTATTTAATATCTATTATTGTCTATTAAGAAAATCTACTCTTTCCTTGGGAGGGTTGCCTATGGTAATATAATCCACCTGCTGGGTAATATTCCCTGATCCTCAGCCCGTTTTGCACCTGTGCTGTGCCTTTTGTCAGAGGTGGGTATGCAAAAAGCCAGGGGTGGAGGTGGGTGAGAATTAAGTATTTCTTTCTCATGTGAATGGGAGGAGCCCTTTATTCCACTTCCCGAAAACCCCCATTAAAAGCTGCCACTGCCTCAGACAACCACAGAGCGGGTTCTTTAGCAGGGAGCCAGAATGACTGCTAATTCCAAATTTATTGACTACATTGATGAAGCTTTGGAAAAATCAAAAGAAACTGTACTATCTCACTTGTTTTTCACCTATCAGGGGATTCCTTACCCAGTCACCATGTGCACCTCAGAGACTTTCAAAGCCCTGGACGCCTTTGAAGCCAGAAGCGATGACATAGTTCTAGCATCTTATCCAAAGTGTGGTAACTAACAAAACTTTTCTACAAGGGTACTTTTTCAGAGTGAGTAGGTGGGGAAGGTGCAAGGAGAAGGTGGGGGGAGGGCAGGTCATCTCATCTCTACATGAAGCCAGAAAATGAGAGGAGGGTAGCTATAGTAGATCAGAGCAGAGCCTGTAAAATCAGTAACTAGAACTGGTAGATTTAGAAACCCCAGTGTCTGAGGGCTTCCCCGGTGGCCCAGTGTTAAAGAATCTGCCTGTGATGCAGGAGACTCAGGTTCAATCCCTAGGTTGGAAAGATCCCCTGGAGGAGGGCATGGCAATCCACTCCAGTGTTCTTGCCTGGCGGACTACAGTCCATGGGGTCATAAAGAGTCCGACCGAAACTACTGAGCACGCATGCTACAGTGTCTGAGGGAGGAGGTCTGTGTGAAAAGAACAGGACGGATGATAAGTGTAGAAGGAGCCGTATGGAGGGGCTAGCAAACAGAAACAGGGCCCAGCTCCCATGGAGTACTCACAATAGCCAAGATGTTCATCCCAATTTGTGACTGAAGACAAGCATGGGCTTGTCTATAAACATCTATGCCTTCCATGTACTAGGTTATTTTTCAGGATCAAACACCAATCCTCCTGTTTCTCAAGCCAGTTTTATAGTGGTCCTTCATCAGTGGAGGATAAGATGTTAAGAAACTAAATTACTCTATTTTATACCATCTACTTTTAATTTTTTTTTTTTTTTCTTTTTGGCCACACCGGTTGGCATGTAGGATCTTAGTTCCCTGACCAGGGATAATACCTGCACCCCCACAGTGAAAGCGTGGAATCTCAACCACTAGACCACAGGAAAGTCCTACTTTTGATCATTTTTAACTGTTATTCCATCTCTGTTTGTTAGAGCCACCTCCATTTCATATTTTCTTTTTAATTGATGCTGTATTTTTATAAAAATCAAAATTACACATTTCTGTAGAAAATATTCATTAATTTAAGGTAAAATATATGATACACAATAAACAGCCATTTCTATAGTATAACATTGTTCTGTAAAAAAGCAACTGCCTCTTGTTAAAGGAGAAATTTAAGAAACAAGATAATCTGATTTTTATACTGAAGTAAGTAAATGCTCTTTTCTATAAAGCTCTGCTTCTTTCCACAGCCCAGGTTATTTTCAATGCAGAAGAACCAGTTGTACGTATCAGGGAATTGTTGTAGGTTTTCTTTTCCTTTTTTTCTTTTTTTTAGGCTGTAACATGGTCTGCAGGATCTTGGTTCCCAGAAAGAAAGTAGTGAAAGTGAAGTCGCTCAGTTGTGCCCGACTCTTTGCGACCCCATGGACTATAGCCTACCAGGCTCCTCAGTCCATGGGATTTTCCAGGCAAGAATACTGGAGTGGGTTGCCATTTCCTTCTCCAGGGGATCTTCCTGACCAAGGGATCAAACCCAAGTCTCCTGCATTGTAGGCAGACGCTTTACCATCTGAGCCGATCAAACCTGGGCCCCCTCAAGCAGAAGCACAGAGTCCTAACCACTGGACTGCCAGGGAATTCTCTCATTGTAGATTTTAATTTTTATGATATGTATGTTTAAGTAACACGCTTTTATTATATCAAGACTCTTTAATGAGCTTCGATTCTCTGATTTTTCTTATAGGTTCTAACTGGATTCTCCACATCATTAGTGAATTAATGTTTGCTGATTCTAAACAAAAGTATGAATACCCAGAATTCCCGGTTCTTGAATGTGGGGACCCAGAAAAATATCAGGTTGGTACAAAAGAGCCATGAAACTTAGAGCAAATTATTCTAGAAAGTAGAATTGAGGGATTTTTTTAGTTTTGAGTTCAGAAAATACAACACAAAATAATTCATTGTGTGCTTATCATATAATCCCAGCACTTTTCAGTAATTATTTCATTTTACTACAGAATCACCTTATCACTATTTACAAATGATTAAGTCATTAGTGTGTGTGTGTGAAGATAGTAACAGGTCATCCTACCTGTTATTATCTTATCCCATGTTATTACTCACCTTATCAATGTAACTAACTAGGGCCTGGATGTGAGGCAGGATGTTGTTTTCCCTGCCAGGAAGGACAAGAAAAAGGGGGAGGAAGGATTTGCCTCAAGATTTTGGTGCTTGGACAGAACAGGGGAGAGGAGGACCATCCAGACTTAGACACACCAGAAACACATGTGGAAAGGGAAGACTGTATCCAACTGGAAACTGCATTCCCAGCAAAACTTACCAGAAGTGCTCACCAACAAATTTCCCAACAGGCAGACAGAACACAGTTACTAAAAATAAAGTCACTTGGGAGTTCAGAAAATTTCTGAAAAGAGATGGAGACACTTGCCAGGATGACAAATACAAACTTAAAAGTTGGATCCCAGTTGGAAGGAAACTTATTGCCATGGACTGGGCCAAAGTAATAGAAAAATATACTGTAAATGAGGTGTTCAGGGATTTCGGTTTTGAAGTCTTTTGATGTTTATGATTTATCAGAAATGTCTATTTTTCTCTTTGGGTATTTTTAAAAGCACTTTTTGCATTTTAATTGTCCCTTGTGGCTCAGCTGGTAAAGAATCCACCTGCAATGCGGGAGACGTGGGTTCGATCCCTGGGTTGGGAAGATCCCCTGGAGAAGGGAAAGGTTACCCACTCGAGTATTCTGGCCTGGAGAATTCCATGGAGTCCATGGAAGAGACGGACACGACTGAGTGACTTTCACTTTTCATATACAGAAATAGTTTTCTATGCAATGTGCCTTTTATTTTAAAATGGAAATAAGTGGAAAGATAAGCTTCATTTAATGGCTATTCACTTTATACAGAAAATTTTCCTAAAAAATATATTTTTTTTCTTAAGATATATCTATATTTCAACTTTACACTGCTTACAGTTGGCTATATCATGCATTTTCATGAACATATAATTATACACTTACCTAGCTTTGTTACAATTAACCTCCATTTTCCCCCTGGATATTTTTCTAACCCTTTTAAGGAACTTTGCCATTTCTCACATGTCTTAAAGAGATTTTTGGCCATGCAGTTTGGTGGAAATGGCACTCTTATCACCTAATCTGAAAATTACCATCTGTGTGATTTTGCACAAAGGACTTAAAACCTCAAAGTCTCTCGTTAATCCTTGAAATGGGGGTTACAATATCTACCTGAGAGGATTATTGTGAACGAAGTAAAAGTACTTCCAAAACTGGAATTAAGAACAAGGACTTAACAAGGATTAAGAATCGTCACTTGGGCCCATAGCGTTGATTTTTAAAAATTTTAAGTCAGTTTTTGCTCCCTTGCTCGAGTTGAGATCTCTAGTTAATTTTTCACAGAACCATTGGCTATAAATGTCTAAATATAATTTCATTGCTTGAAATGATGACCAGCATGGAAAAAAACACTGAAAGCATTAGCCCACCACAGAACATACACTAAAGGTCTGATTTTGAGATAAAAGCCTTCACCCTGTCTGATTAAACTGGAGCTTCATTTTGTAAATTACCAGTAGAAGTAGATTACAAAATCAAAAAGAATCAATCACAGAGTCCTTATATTGACAAGAATTTCTCTCATAAGATATTTCTCAGATATTTAAGTGACTCTGCACTTTCAGGTTCTGTTAGGATATTTGACTGCATGGAGTTTTACTGGTTTAAGAAAAAAAAGATCTAGATGTTAAAAATGAATTTGGAGGACCTATAGAAGACTTGAACATTTCTGTTAATGACTGAATGTAGAAAAGATCACATTAAGTGAGAGAGGGAATTGCAGATTTTGAGCTGTCTTGAAGAAAATGATTTTGGGATGGCTGTGGGAAAACATAAATTTTTCTTTAAAAAAAAATGACAAAAAAAAAAAGACTGGGCAATGGAAAGCAGGACGGAAGAAGGAAGTTCGAAAGGAAGTTTTAAATTGCATATTTATTTGTTATTCTCCATTCCTCATCCCCCACAAAGAAAACAGAAATAAATAAAATCGAGAGGAGAATGTGGAAGAGGAATAGACACAGTAATAGTAACGACTGAAACTACTCTTCAGGTACTAAACCTAGGAGTGATTCCCTACACACACACACACACACACACACACACACACACACACACACACAAACATATAAGCTTTCACCTTATTGTTTATATTTTTAAGAGAATGAAACAGCTTCCATCACCAAGGATTTTGGCAACTCATCTCCATTATGACAAATTACCTGGGTCCATCTTCAAGAACAAAGCCAAGGTGAGTGTCCCCTCCACTGGTATTATAATGTGAAGTTCTTCATGTATAGATATTGGCTTTCTGAGGTATAGGATGAGTTTGCTACTCATCAGAGAATTTTAATGAATAAAGTGTGCAGTCTGGTGTTTCTTTTGTTGTTGTTTCTTTCTTCAGATATATTGGCTATAGTTGCATTCAAATGAAATGTATTTTCAGCCAGGATATAAAACATATACATAAAGTAGCCCACCAGGCTCCACTGTCCATGGGATTTTCCAGGCAGGAATACTGGAGTGGGTTGCTATTTCCTTCTCCGGGGGATCTTCCCAACCCAGGGATCAAACCCAGGTCTTCTATACTGCAGACGGATCCTTTACCGACTGAGCCACCAGAGACGCCCCTAACCCCATTAGGTATTTGAATTCCACCAAGTGGCTGTCTGGACTGCTCACGTCTCCCATTACAAGGGACTCCTCTGTCCCCTCTGCTAGGTGTGGATGGCTCTGTAAAACAGTTTTTCTTTATACTGAGAATCTCCCAAATTGGAAATACCACTTTAATCCATAATTTTCCCAATTTAATGCAGTTCAGTAGAATCACCTCAGTGATTCTTCCTCCCCCCCCTTAATTATTCCATAAGACACAGAGCTAAAGTAATGTATAGAGCACTTGGATTTGGAGCAAGCAGCCTTTTGAACAAAGCTTTACTTTCACAAGAAAGCAGGGCAAGAGATGAACGACAGTTAAGGTAAGAAGTTGATACTGAGATTTTATCCATACACTCCATCCTGCTGGCCTTCACCATGCTAACTTATGGCTTTGCAAAATTATAAATTGCTATGAGCCAGAGAGATTCCTGAGTGGTAATCAGAGCCCCAAATATAAGACCCTCAAGTGACAAGAATCTGCTGTATTTGGATTGGGGGCAGAGTTTTAGATCTCTGCCCCCAAACAAAGACATAGAGGAGCACATTCATCTCTATTCAGTTGTATCCTACTACCGTCAGTTCACGTCTTTAGATTGATGAGCTGTTCTGAAATCCAGACTCCCTCTCACTTTCATGCCATCTACAAATTTGATAAATGAAGCTTCTATATCTTAACCTGAAATCCTCATTAATATGTTGATGATGGTCTAGTCAGGACAGTTTTATTAAAAATCTCTGGGCAGTTTTACGTTAGTTTTTCAGCCTCCTTTGCATCAGTTTTGTGTGCTTAAATGTTTCTGCTGCCGTCATGCCTTCTTCCATTTGCAGAGGAATTCATAAGCAACAAATCTACTAATTTAAGAACTATGTCCAAGAAAAAACTGCCATTAGAAATGACTTTTTCTTAGAGAACCCGTGTTGCCCCCTGGTGGTTATTACTTCCTGTTTTACGTGGCCACAAGTCATCTATTTAGTCAGCTCCAAAAACATCTCCAAAATGGAGGTCACTTTGTACTTTGCAAACCCCACACTTTCCTCTTCCCGAAAGGGAAATGCTACCTGCCTGTTTCCAGTCCTCCAAACCTCTTGTATGCTGTCTCCAGTTCCTTCAAGGTCACTAACTGTGCTCAGTAATAATGTATTCCATAATATTCTCAGTTCTTTAAAGGGAAATTTTCTGGCCAGAGGGCCCAAACCCACTTGGAGTGGCCAAGTGGTCTGCAATTTAGTGGTTTTTCTTGGGTTTCAGTTTGCTCTTTACAACATTCATTTCACACTTTTCATTCAGAAAAATGAATCTCTGCCTCATCAGAGAAGGCAGCCATAACACTGAAATTCAGAGGTTCTGTTTCCTCCACATCACCCATCATACCTCCAACCTTTCCTTCGTTGATCCTCTCCCATGAAACTCTAAACATTATTTTTGTTGTCCTTAACATTGTTTTGTTATTTTTAATTTTGAGGTGGTTTAACTTTTCAGACCATGCTCTTGTGAGCCTGCTCTTCATTCCTTTTTACCTGGTCTACATATGACATTTTACTGTCTCAGTTTGTTAGCAAAAATTCAATGTTACAATATCAATCTTCTTTTTCTTCTTTCTTTCCCCCTTTTCCCCAGGCTTTCTTATCTGCCACTTCCTGTTTCTCAATTTCTTTCTTTCTTTCTACCTCAACAAAATCAGGTAGTATATAATAGGACACAATGCTCATGCTTTCAGTTTTCCAAAGTTCAATGCTTAAACCTAGATAACTTTCTCTCTCCAGATACTGGTGATATTTCGAAACCCTAAAGACACAGCAGTATCTTTTTTCCATTTCCACAATGATGTTCCTGATATTCCAAGCTATGGTTCTTGGGATGACTTCTTCAGACAGTTCATGAAAGGACAAGGTATGGCTGTTGGTAAAAGAATCATTCTTACTTCAACAGATGATCACAGAAATACAAAAATTCAAATGTGTTTTAGGATAAAGAAAGAAACAACAAGGCCCTACTGTATAGAACAGGGAACTACATTCAATATATTGTAACAACCTACAACAAAAAGAATATGAAAAAAGGCTACATATTTGTGTATATATATACAACTGATTTACTACACTGTACACCAGAAACTAACATAGCATTGTAAATCAACTATACTTCAATTAAAAAATTAATAAATTTAAAAAAGAAAGAAAAAATAAATTAAGGCAGATCCAGGAACTACAATGTTACTTTTAAATAAAGCTTTCTGGGCATCAAACAATATATTACTGTTTTTAAAAATAATTTGGACAATTCATATGTTGAGGATGGATGTTAAATAGCCATAGAACAGACATGGGACAAAAAGGCCTATAATAGTCATGTACAGAAAGCATTTCAAATTCACTTCCCACAAGTCTCTGTATAGCACAATGATAAAAGCCAAAAAAGAACAAAACCATGACAATGAGCTGCCACACCTAAGATACTTGTTTGCCAGAAAGCAACCTAAGGTTTTGTTAGATCATGTTGATGTTTTTACCTCTGGTTACTGATAACCATAATTTCATAAGTGCCTACAAATGCTCCCGTTACCAAACTAGGTATTATATACACATATCTCATTTAAGACCATAACAACTATGAATAAGGCATTATTAGCTATAAAAAATTTAAATTACTTGCCAACGGTCTCAGTTACTTGTATGTGGCAGCAACTCTACTTCCCTTGGTATAGTGGCCGGAGATGAATAAATGTCTCTTTTTAGTAGTGGCTCTGTTGAGGGCTTACAGTGTAGTAGAAGGAAGAATTAATGCCAGATGATCCTAGAGTTGCTACCAGGTCCCTCTAAAAGGACCACTTTTAAAGGGGATCAGCACAGCAATGCAACACTATGCTGAATGAATAGACACTAGGTACAGTACTGAGTCCTTAGCAAAGATTAAGTCTTGGGATTGGGGTGTAGGAGAGAAAAAGAAAGTGTACAGAAGTTGCTTATGAAGCACTGGCAGGGAAGATTTGGCTTGTTCAGTAACTACTCACTAAGACCAGATGGAGGCAGTTAAGGCAAGTCTAAAACATTATACTCCATTGATATAACACAAGAGAACATTCAGTGGTGGAAAAACTCATCATCATTGGGACAATCTATTTTAGGGACTCTGTTGCTTTTCTGTCCTTTTAGTCTAATCATTTGATTGACAATGATAAGTGGCACTGATATTAATAACTTGGATGGATTTTCTGCCTTGTAAACTTGTTATGGTCAACTTACAGAGAAAGGCAGCTGAATGTACTGCAAACATACAGGATGTAGAATGAGAAGGCCTGGATTGGGCTTCATCACTTATTATTATGTTTTAGTGATTAACACTAGATAGAATAAAATAGCTACAATTTATTGAGCACTTACCACATGCCAGGCACTACATGCTACTCCTAGCACACATTATTTTAATTTTCATAATAACCAAATGAGGATAATACTATTATTATCACCATGTTACAAAGAAGAAAATAGAGGCAGAGAAAGGCTCTAAACTTTGATTTCCTTAGTTGTAAAGAGAAAATAAGAATGCCTGACCTATGAGAGGTAACACAGTGTTGTATTTTGCTTGGTTGCATTAGCTCTGGGGTCAAACTAACATTAAAAGATGTCAATTAAAAAAAAAAAAAGATGTCAGTAACACAGAACTTATTATGCAGCCTTAAAGTGGTTACTTAGCTCCTCTGGGTTTCTAATTCTCCATCAATAAAATGGGTATAAAATTGTACCTATCATACTGGATTGCTTTAAAAAGCGAAAGATGAAATGTATGCATATCAATAAAACATTTAGAAAAGCAGAAAACCCCACCACAGTGGCATAAACAGATCAGGTTTTATTTTCCTCACTTAACTAAGAAGTCTGGAGATAGCAACTGACCCAGGAGCCCAGTACTGTTGGGTCAGCAGCTCTGACGTTCCCTGGGCCCCTCTGTCGTGCTTTTTGCAACATTCCCTCAAATTGTCCACTGTCCCTCTGAGCATCACCTTCAGATCACAAAGAAGGCTCATCGTGACAGGAATAATTGTTCTAGAAACCTTCCAGCAGACCCCTGCTTGTGTCTCACTGGCTAGGACTACTTCATGTGACCAACCATAGACCTAAGGGAGGCAGAAAGTGAGAAACAGATTCTCTGACTAGCTTAGACCCAACTAATCAGGGTTTGCTTTGCAACAAAGAAGGGCGTATACTATATTTGGGGCAGGAAGTTTACAGTATTTTGCACAACGAATAAAACATGTAGAAATTGCCTGGCTCAAATCATGATAATAATTATGACAATATTATTATTATTATTACTAATAATGTTTATATTGGCTAATATTTGTTGAGTGGGTATTATTAATCAGGCACTGTTTTAAGCATTTGACGTGTGTTAATTCACTTAAAATTCACAACAACCCCATTTTACAGATGAGGAAACTAAGGTACAAAGAGGTTTAGGGAGTTTCTCAAAGCCACACAGCTATCTAGATCTGCACTGTCCAATATGGTAGCCACTAGCCACATGTGGAAATTGATCATTTGAAATGTGACTAGTGCAAGTGAAGAGCTAAATTTTAAATTTTATTTTAATTCAAATTTATATTTTAAGATAATCAATTCAGTTGCTGGAAACTTTTTTAAGTAAGTTTGTGTGACTGTGTGAATCTGTTTTTCAACTATAAAGTTGGCTTGCACAACATTGTTATTGGACAGTGCTAGTCTAGATAACATGTCTCATCATTTCTTTCTGACATTATATCTGTTGGTTTTCAAGTATCATTCACTATTTCTGAATTACTTCATTCACCTAAATGTTCATGAAAATTTGTAGTTCTTGTGAAAGCATTTTTACAACTTGCTTAGTTGTGCTACTGTTCCTGAAAATAAGAAATGAGAAAATCTGACATTAGGACTGATTTATGTCAGTTCTTTTGGAGCAGGGATTTGTAATCTTATAGTCTTGTTTGATCATATACACATACATATAGTTTATATTTTAGGGTATACATTAACCATTTTATCCTCATTCTATCATTTTAACCTCAATTATTTAAAATTTCTTAAGAAGTTATTTTTTCCTGTATTTTTAGTTTCCTGGGGAAGCTATTTTGATTTTGCAATTAATTGGAACAAACATCTTGATGATGAAAATGTTATGTTCATATTATATGAAGACCTGAGAGAGGTGAGATTATGATTATTGGTATTCTATAGCAAGATTCACTATAAATGACAACATAGAACATTTATTCATAATGTCTGATTGTATGAACAAACAGTATACTCAATTTTTAAAAATATTCCATATATGTGATACAGTACTAGGGGAAAAAAACAATGCATATGTGTTTAGATTGTTTATTTAATAGAAATAAAATAATTCTTAGGAACTTACTACTAACAGTGACTGCCTTTTTTCCCCATCTGTGATAGATAGTCCAAATTAGGAATGGCAGAAAAGATAGGTCTCTATTGAGGTTTAACTGCAAATGCTTTTGGCTGTGAATTAATTTTTCCATATAATGTTTTTAAAAACTGCTTCTTCACAAATATTTAATGAGTTCAGCATTGTTTTAGGCCTTTGTAATTTATCAGTGGACAGACTAAAGTTCACTACATGGGAGAAGCTTACATTCTAGCTGGAGAAGGTGGGGAGACAGAATGATAAACAATAAATACAATAAAAATTTTAAATGATTATAATATGTGAGAATGAAGAAACAGCACAGCTGATTAAGGAAAACTAGAAATCCCCAAGGGTGGGGGGTTGGGATACCGGACAGATCTCAGCATGAAATAGGATGGTCAGTGGAAACCTCACGGAAGGCATGTGACATGAACCAAGATCTGAGGGAGACGAGGGAGGGGGTGAGTCAAGAGGGTAACGAGAGTAAGAGCTTTCCAGGCAGAGAAGACCAACTGGAGCAGAGGCCCTGAGGTAGGAGTGTTCCTGGAAGGTCAAGGAACGGAAAGGAGCAGATGTGGTTTGGTTGGAGGGATGAACCAGAAGAGACTAACCGATGAAGACAGGCGCAAGGGGGTGGAGTGGAATGCAGTGACAGACCATTGAAATACTTTGCTTTTCACTGAATGAAATGGGAAATCATTGTAGGATTTCGAGCAGAAGAGTGGTAGGAATTTATGAGTTTTTAACGGGATCATTCTGTCTGGTGTGTGAGAATATATTAGAGAGAAGCAAAGAGGATCCAGGGAAACCCATGAGGAGGTTATTGCTCTAGTCCAGGCAATGGAAGGAAGATGGTGGCTCAGACCTGAAGGGGCCATGGAGGGGAAGAGAAGAGGTTGAATTCTGAACTTACATTGAAGGAAAAACCAATAGGATTTGTTGCTGGACTGGATGAGGGAAAGAGTAGTGAGAAAAAAAGAGAAGTCAAATGAGACCCCAGTGTCATTGGTCCAACCAACTGGGAGGACTGAGCTGTCACCATGTGAGTAGGAGACGGCAGCAGGTGAAGCAGGATTGTGGGGAAGCCAGGGATCTGGTTTTCAACATCAGAAGGCTAAAATGTTTATCGGTCACCCAAATGGAGAGGCCAAGTAGGCAGTTACGTATTGAAGTCTTAAATGCAAAAAGAGTTCTGAGCTACAGATGTAAATCTGGCCCACAGATGACATTTAAAGCCATGAGACTACATATCTAATATGTAAGCATATGGACAGAGACGTTGACCAAGAACTGAGCCTTGCAGCCCTCCAACATGAAAAGTTTGAATAAAAAGGGAGGAGTAGCTAAAGACATAGGAGGGAAACCAGAGTCCTGGAGCTCCAGGGAAGAAAGTATGTTAAAGGAGAAGAGACTCAAATGCTCTCTAACTGAATTGAGTCTTTAACACTACTTTCTCCTGATATTCTTATATTTTAAAAAAAAGTGTAATTGAACTCATCCCTTCTGTTTATGGTGTGTACAAATATATATAACATGAAAGAACATACTAATGTAGTCTTTTCCCCTTCTCATCTAGAACGTTCCTAAAAAAACTTGTGATTCATGGGATGTTAGCATTGTCCCAAATGTTAATCATTCTTTCCTGCAGTTGGTAGAAGGCTGCCTGTTCAAATTGATTTTCGGACTGCTGTAGTATATAGCCTGCTCCTTTGGGAAATTCACATTGCACACTGGCATATTAAAGATTGACAGATTCTACAAACAAACAAACAAAACCTTACCTTTACTAATCCAAAGCTTCCACACTTATTTGACCACAACCCTTAACCCTCTTTCCCCCCATGAAACATCTATAAGCACCTTGAAATACTTTAATGTTTTGTAGAATACAGTTTAAGAAACTGTTCTAGAAGATTAAATCTCCACTGGTCAATGATACTGGTGAGAAGGTTGATGATACTTACAAAGGTATTAAGTGATATAGTCCAAGACTCATTCTAGCTTTTATGATTCTAAAAATGAGCCTTTCTTGATAGAATTACCTATTAGCTAAAACAGGATTTAGAAGAAAGAGAATTTGAATGAGCACATACAAATATATTAATTTCCTCAGCTGGTTTAGATTGGTGCTTTTTAACAAAATGAATGTCATCTTAGATAAGATTCTACCCTGCTATTAAATGCTTACTGTCACTATCAATACCTTGAATAGTTCAATAAGTCAGAAATTGAAACTACAAAGTAAAATCAGTACAGAGTATCTTAAAGGGAAGTTTCAAATATTTATACTGAAATATCAAAGTAAGTCTGAAGAGATAGAAAGGGACAGCTGAATTAGAGAGTTAGGCTTAAAATGCATTCTAAGAAGCCTGTCTTGGCCTGGGGCACAATTCCCACAGAAAGAAGTTTATCCTCTAAAATTTTGTTTTCAGAATCTGGCCACTGGAATAAAACGAATTGCTGAGTTCTTCGGATTCTCTCCATCTGGGGAGCAGATTCAAACTATTTCGGCACAGAGTACCTTCCACGCCATGCAAGCAAAGTCCCAGGAAACACACGGTGCCGTGGGCCCGTTCCTGTTCCGCAAAGGTAAAGCCGCCTTGATATCTGAGCCATCCATCCGTCTGCACATAACAGGCAATTCAAACAACTTTATGTTGAAGAAGACAGGATTTTCTTTGTCTCTTCCTCAACAAGAAGTCTGACATAGATCAGAGCTGGAACTGGTAACTCCACTCTGTTTTAGAGTACTAAGCTCCTTCCAACTTTCTCTTGCCACCTGCTGATAAAAGGAGAGCAGCTAGAGCTCCTGAATTACAATAAAGTTAAAGGGTTATTTTATTCAAATTAAAAGGGAATGGCAAGAGAATCACATGCATTTGCTGAGCGAGCCCCCTTTATAGAACTTTGTGGGGAGCCTCACTCAATAGCTTACATCTCATTGGTCACTTCTCATGGTGCTGTTGGATGGAAAATGTAACTTTTTAAAAAGGTGGGTGTGTTATTACTCAATTAAAATCAAAGTCTTATTAATAAAGGAGAAGGAGTAAATGAGTGTTGGATAGGCAACCAGCTATCTCTGACACTGATGATTTTACTAAATTTCATTAAACTATTCTAATTTCTTATGCAAATTTATGATAATATAGCCCAAGGGGTGTCAGTTTTCTTTTTTATTGCATATATAATGAAAGTATAATGTGATTTAGAGGCAGCACATATAACAACTATCACTTATTAGGCATGCATCATGTGTTAGGCCCTTTGCTGGGCTTAAATTTTATAGCAAAAATATTAAATCCTTAATTTTACAATATGGACATCAAGACTCAGAGATATTAATTGACCCTTTGTCACAAAGCTAATTGGGCTTCCTAAGTGGTGCTAGTGGTGAAGAACCCAACTGCCAATGCAGGAGACTAAGAGATTCAGATTCAATCCCTGGGTCAGGAAGATCCCCTGGAAGAGGGCATGGCAACCCACTCCAGTATTCTTGCCTGAAGTATCCCACGAACAGAGGAGCCTGGTGGGCTACAGTCAATAGGGTTGCACAGAATCAGATACCACTGAAGCAACTTACCATGCACACACAAAGCTAATTAGTGCAACAGGATCCAAATGTAGGTCTACTTGATTCTACTACACTTTGTCAAATGCAGACTCACTTTAAAAAATCCACTGTGAATGCAACATTGTATATAAATCTGGCTTTGGTTTGCATTCTGACTTTAACTCTGATTTTTATGCCTTATTTTATTAGCTTTAAGAAGAGGGGAAAAATAAAACCTTTCTATATGTTGTTAATCAAATACTACAGAATTGAAAAAAATTCTAAAAGTAGTGATTTTAAAATATTACATTATTCCATGTAGAAAAATCAGAAAGTACAGAAAGATATGAAAAACTACTAAAAATCATCCACATTTTTCCCACCAGAGGCAGGTTTGACTTTTTGACACACTTCTTCCGGCCTTATTCTGTGATGTTTCATATAGTTGATGACATTTGTAAAAAGTCTTGCTTTTTTATTCCCTTCATATATGTAAGCATTTCCTCACATCATTAAAACTGCTTTATAAGTATACATTTCATTGGCTATGCAACAAGGAGCTTAACAACTTCAACCCAAATCATCAAAAGAGTCTAAGGAAAAAAGTAACTTTCTTTACTTTTAAAAGCACATAAGAAAAACATATCTCAATCTCAGGCAAAATAATAATTTTTTGCAAAAAATGATTCTAAAAAAGTGGTATTTTGGTCCCAGGTGTTGGGAGAGGGGTGGGGATAGGAAGTCACTGAGTTCAAGGGTCCCCGTTAGGGACACTGAAGAAGCACATCACCTGCCACACCGCGCCACACCAGTGGGGAAGCCCAAGTGGACCTTGCTAACTTTACAAGGAAACTTACATTAGTTTTTTAAGACTGTGTAATTTTTTTTCACGTGTCCATTTCACATTTCAAAGTGAAACTCTACACTGAGAAATGATAAAATCAAGATGAAATAACAGGTGTCTAAATCTCCTGTTTTTTGTGTGTGTGTTGTAGGTGAAGTTGGTGATTGGAAAAGCCTGTTCAGTGAAACTCAGAACCAGGAAATGGATGAAAAATTCAATGAGTGCTTAGCTGGCACTGCCCTGGGAAAAAAGTTGAAGTATGACTCATACTGCCAGCCTTGATTCTGGTCAATTCAGCTTATTTTCCTTAATAATAACTGAATTTAAATATCAATAATTACATAATAATCTAATCAATAATGATAATTAAAAACATTCAGACATAAACAATCTGTTTAATAATGAAAACAAATGAAAATTTTGAGCACAAACTTAAGTTTGTTCACTTTTTACAGAAAGATACTTTAGCCATCCAAAAGGGATGCTGTATTTAATGATGTATCCTGGAGTTCTAACTTCTTTCATGCTCTGGGTTCACACAAGACCATAAGCCAACACTATTGGAGATATACCTAAATCTGTTTGAGCATAGATGAGACAGGCCTTTCTGTCTCATGATCATGATCTGTGATCATGATCACAATGCTTTGTCCTCTCACAAAAATCCCTCTCTTCCTCACTATGGATCAGAGCCCTTGTGATCTGCTCCTTTCTGAACTTACTGCTGTGAGAAATTTAATTCCAATTCTTCCCTGAAGTAAAATGAATAAATCCTATTCTAATTTGATTCAAGAAAAACACATTGCTCATGTACTCTGTGTATGTCATTTAAGAAAGCTCTATGGAGGCCCACTCTCAAGGGACTTTATATTTCTACTTAATACAAGCTTTACTTTAAAGCTAAGGATTAGAGGTTGTGTTATTCTGGCATGCCGGCTTTCCTACCAGAGAGCCTCAAGTAAGCATGTGGAATCTATAAGAGAAAGCAGAAAATGTTCTGGGGCGGCGGGGGGGGGGAACAAACCTTTAAACAATATCCTTAATATTTATACTCCAGCTAGTTTCACTGTAAAGCTAAGTTTTACACAGTTAAGAACAGAATGAGTCATAAAAAGTTAAATAAAATTGCTTTGAGAAAGATTACAGGACTACTATTTCTGGCAGTATGGTAGATTAGGTAAACTGAAGACTCTTCCCTCAAAACACCAAGAAAGGCTATATAAAAATCCCTTCAGTGGCACTGCTCAGCTTCCAGTAAAGTGAGTGGTCTTAACAGAGACCAAAACCAAAGAGAGAACAGAGAACTAGAGTGAATAAGAATCAGAGATGACCCTGAGATGTCAATGAGAAATTTGCAGGAACAGAAACTTGGGTTTTAATGCCCAAGCCCATATGACTGGAGCAGGAATAGAAAAATAGACCAAATGAAATAAAACAAACAGAACAAAATACAGTGGCCATGAATGTAAAGAAAGTTCAAATATGACAGAGGTGGCATTGCATACCATAGGAACAGATTAAACTCTTCAGCATTTGATACTAAGACAACTGCTTCTGATATACAAGAAGTAAAATCAGACCTTTACTGCACATCACTCGAAAAAAATAATTCTTTACAAATTAAAAGGCTATATGTCAAAAGATGATTTAGACTACATTTTTAGAAGCAAATACAAGTAAATATTTTTATGACCACAGAGTAGGATTTATTAAGCAAGAAACAAAAAACACAGAAAGGAAACAATTTATATTTTGGGCAACATTAAGATTTAAAATGTAGAACAACATCATTAAGAAAGTAAAACCAAATGAAACAACATGTCAGAATTAAGATTCCACACTGTTGTGGAGCCACCCTCCTTGGCCCCCCCAAAAGAGAACAAAGTTCAGGTCACTTACTACCATTGCTACTGTTGACACCAGAGATGGCCCATACCCTTTGAGAACTGACATGGGAACATGAGTCCAGCCTCTGCCATCTCCTCTGAGCTTCCTTGTCAACTTGTCTGTCACAGAAAAATGGGACTTCCTTCTATATCCAAGTCTTGCACCACTGTCTATCCATCACTGGCAAGACTTGGATTATATCCAGAATTTTAACTCCGTAGTAATCTGGGAAATGTGGTTTTAACCTTCCATACATTATAATCCAGGAGATGTGGAGACATGGAAGAGAGTTGGAAGGGAAGCTAAGTCAAACTTAATAACATATAGTACAGTCCACTCTTTCTACCAATAATCTTTCAAGCAAACAACAAATCTATGTTCCCACTTAATGCAGTTGTTCCCGTCTTCAAATGGAAACATGCTTATCCTGCCTCCCAAATCTGTATGCCCATTGTGATATTTCTTTCTCATTTTAGCCACAACCCCACTTTAAGACACTCTGTCTTATAGACTATCTTATACAATTAACCACCATCAGCAAATGTCAAGTAAAAAGGGAAGGGAGAACAATTAAAAGAGGTTCACCCACTGCTGGGCATACACACCGAGGAAACCAGAATTGAAAGAGACACGTGTACCCCAATGTTCATTGCAGCACTGTTTACAATAGCTAGGACATGGAAGCAACCTAGATGTCCATTGGCAGATGATGGATAAGAAAGCTGTGACACATAAACACAATGGAATATTAGTCAGCTATTAAAAAGAATACATTGTATCAGTCCTAATGAGGTGGATGAAACTGGAGTCTATTATACAATGAAGTAAGTCAGAAGAAAAAAAGAACACCAATACAATATATTAACGCATATATATGGAATTTAGAAAGACGGTAATGATGATCCTATATGTGGGGCAGCAGAAGAGACACAGATGTAAAGAACAGGCTTTTGGACTCTGTGGGAGAAGGCAAGGGTGGATGATTTGAGAGAGAGCATTGAAACATGTATATTAGCATATGCGAAATGGTTTGCAGTCCAGGTTCGATGCATGAGACAGGGCGCTCAGGGCAGGTGCACTGGGATGACCCTGAGGGATGGGATGGGGAGGGAGGTGGGAGGGAGGGTCAGGATGGGGGATACATGTGCACCATGGCTGATTCATGTCAATGTATGGCAAAAACCACCACAATATTGTAAAGTAATTAGCCTCGAATTAAAATAAATAAATTTACAAAAAAAAAGAGGTTCATTTGTACATAACAAAGACAAAGCTATGGAAAAACATGCATAGCTTCTATGATTCTCTATTTTGCATCTGGTCATGAGACCATAGCTGGTGTTTATAACTCCTTGTCCATTCTTCCCTTTGCCATCAGATGTCCCCCCGGTTAGTAGGGTGATGCAGACCTTCAGTCTTGAAGGATCTGAGTCCTTAACATTCCTACCTGTGCTGCTGCTGCTGCTGCTGCTGCGTCATTTCAGTCATGTCCGACTCTGTGCGACCCCAAAGATGGGAGCCCACCATCCCTGGGATTCTCCAGGCAGGAATACTGGAGTGGGTTGCCATTTCCTTCTCCAATGCATGAAAGTGAAAAGTGAAAGCGAAGTCACTCAGTCGTGTCCCACTCCTAGTGACCCCATGGACTGCAGCCTACCAGGCTCCTCCGTCCATGGGATTTTCCAGGCAAGAGTACTGGAGTGGGTTGCCATTGCCTTCTCCCCTACCTGTGTTAGAGACCTCTAAATTTCCATTAATGAAAAAATCACTTATCACTGAATGTGGAACTACTGAAAGGAACTCCAGAGAAACCTCTGGGTTGAAGACATACTTATCTCTGGCTGCATCACTATTTCCCCTTGCTAATTCATATCAACCAGTCCAACAAGTTCAGTAACTCCCTTATTATTATTATTGTTATTTTGGTCATGACGCGTGGTGTGTGAGATTGTAATTCCCCAACCAGGAATGGAACCTGCACCCCCTGCATTGAAAGCTTGAAGTCTTAACCAGTGGACCAACCACCAGGGAAGTCCCTCCCTCTTATTTTCTTGATAACTTAATGACAAGATGCTCTTGCAATCTCCACATGCAGTTTCAAGTTCCTCTTCAAGGAACCACGCAGTGAAAATAGAGCCAAAAATCATAGAAACAGGAAGCACTTATTTTGCAAGCATATGATTAGGTTTAATCATGGAAGACAAACCTTTTACATCTACTGATTCCTGGGCTTGTGTATTCTGACCATGAAAGAAACAGCAACCAGGATCAGAACAAATACTATACCTGAAGGACAGTGCACCCAGCTTGCTAAGTGTTGTCTCCTACCTGGGGCTGTAACTGAGTCTTCCATACTTGATCCCACTATCCTATAAGGCCAGCTGCTTTCAGATGATAAGTCAAGATAGAAATCATTGAATCCCATGGCAGTCAGTGTACTGCCTCACTTCTTTCTCTGCAAAATGGGTTCCTTACTAAGGGATATCAATATAGTGAACAAGGTATTTGCTACCAATGATGGTGCTGGCAGAAGCACCAGAGGAAGAAAAAGCAAGTCCAAACCTGGAATAAATGCTTTCTCCACAGAAGGCAAATCCCTGCCCACTCCATGATGGCAGGGCTCCATGTAACCAACCTGCCACCAAGTGGCGGGCTGGTCTCCATAGGTGTTCAGGGCAGTTGTGCTGGGGTCTCAGCATCGGTCTCAGCTGTCGGAGTGCTGGGTGCTCAGCAGTTAGATCCACCTTGACAAGATCGCACACATATATCATCCATTCCTACTGCCAAGGCTCTCCATTTGTGTTAAACAAGCACTGGGGAAATGCCGACTGACATCTACAGAAGCTTTCTTGCACACCAGCTTCTCAATTCTCCTTAGAAGGGGGTACCTCTCATGAAGATTCACAAGGAAACCCAATACACTCAGACTCTGTGTCCATTCCAAGTGGTCACTCACATCCTTTTCCCCCAGACCTCCTTATCATTAACGCTCTGACCTTGTCCCTTACAAATCTCCGAATATCCAGGTAAACTGTAGGCCACTAGCTTTCTCTCCTACCAAGTGACAACTAAGTGTACTGCTTGAAGCTTCACCCTGGAAGGATTTCCCTTCTCCCACTATCCTTTAGGGCCACTTCCCTGAAGGGCTGTTGGAACACATCAGTTCACTTCCAGTTAAAGCCAGTGTATAGCGCTTCACCTGAATTTTCCTTTCTCAGCCACCTGGTCACAGGGAACTCCCCATGAGACCAGAGATGTGGGTTGATAAAGGAGAGGGCAGGAGTGCATGCCATAGGGGCCTTAGATATCTGCTCATGTAACACACCAGTGGGCTGCCCTCTATTTCAGTACTAGAAACTCCAGGAAGTTTACCACTGCTAATGGTGTCTGGTGAG